CCAGCCGTTCTCCCGCCCGCCGTCTCGATGAGACAGATGAGGCTCAACTGGAAAGACTCTACAAACCTGTGTTTGTTATGAAACCGTCCTCAATAAAATGCTCTGAGGGGCAAACTGCCAGATTTGACTTGAAGGTTGTTGGCAGACCCATGCCCGACACCTACTGGTTCCACAATGGTGAGAGAAACAGATTTCAACATATTCCAGAAATGCCCCTTTATCTGTTACTTCTGCCTTTTGTAAAACCATTTATCTTTTTCCCAGGACAACAAGTGGTTAATGACTATACCCACAAGATCGTGATTAAAGAAGACGGCATCCAATCCCTGATCATTGTCCCTGCCATGCCAAAAGATTCTGGAGAATGGACAGTTATTGCTCAGAACAGAGCTGGTCGAACTTCTGTTTCTGTAAATCTTACTGTTGACGGTAAGTCTGCTTCACAGATTCATCATAGGGGATCAGATGACGTTCTTCAGCTTTGAAGGACATATCTGTTAATAAATCCTGTTCTGTGTCTCACATCCACAGCTCGAGAAAGTCTAGCTCGCCCTCAGTTTGTCGACAAGCTGAAGAACATCACAGTCAAACAGGGCACTCTGGTTGAACTGGCTGTTAAAGCCATTGGAAACCCTCTGCCTGATATTGTCTGGCTGAAAAACAGTGACATCATCTCACCACACAAGCACCCACACATCAAGTATGTATCTTCAATTTAAGCTGTGAATGATTTTCTGAGTTGTGAGAGTAGTGAATAAAATGTGCTGATCAATATATTTGAATGATGATGTATTTCAGGATCGAAGGAACCAGAGGAGAGGCCAAATTCCAGATCCCATCTGCTTCAGGCACAGACAGTGCCTGGTACACAGCTACTGCCATCAACAAGGCTGGTAGAGACACCACTCGCTGCAGAGTCAATGTGGAGGTGGACTTCACTGCCCCTCAAGCTGAGAGGAAGCTCATTGTTACCAAAGGAACGTACAAGGCTAAGGAGATTGCAGCTCCGGAGTTGGAGCCCCTTCATCTGCGATATGGCCAAGAGCAGTGGGAGGAGGGCGACCTTTACGACAAAGAGAAGCAGCAGAAACCACTGTTCAAGAAAAAGCTGACCTCTATCAGAATGAAGCGTTTCGGCCCTGCTCATTTTGAGTGCAGACTGACTCCTATTGGTGACCCCACCATGCTAGTGGAGTGGCTGCACGATGGCAAACCCCTGGCTGCTGCTAACAGGTTGCGCATGGTCAATGAATTTGGCTACTGCAGCCTTGACTACGAAGTTGCTTATGCTAGAGACAGCGGTGTCATCACTTGCAGAGCCACAAACAAGTTTGGAGTCGACCAGACCTCGGCCACCCTGATCGTCAAGGATGAGAAGGGTCTCGTTGAGGAAAGTCAGCTTCCTGAAGGCAGGAAGGGAGCTTACAGAATGGATGAGATGGAGCGCCAAGCTCATCAGGGAGGACCCTATGGAGTCACTGCTGATGAAGAAACTGAGAAAATGAAACCTGAGATTGTCCTTCTCCCTGAACCAGCCAGAGTGCTTGAAGGCGACATTGCTCGATTCCGTTGCAGGGTGACCGGTTATCCAGCACCTAAAGTTAACTGGTACCTTAACGGACAACTTATCCGCAAAAGCAAAAGATACAGACTTCGTTATGATGGTATTTACTATTTGGAGATTGTTGACATCAAGTCATATGACTCAGGAGAGGTCAGGGTGGTTGCAGACAATCCTTTGGGCACAACTGAGCACACTGTGAAGCTGGAGATCCAACAGAAAGAGGACTTTAGATCTGTCCTGCGTCGTGCTCCCGAACAGAGGGCTGCCGAGGCTTCACATGAACCTGGAAGAATTGCATTCGATGTTATGAAGGTTGACCAACCTGGTGATGCTGCACAGGACAGGGAAGTTGTTAAGCTTCGTAAGACACAGAGAATCACCCATGAGAAAACCTCAGAGGAATCGGAAGAGCTAAAAAGTAAGTTCAAGCGTAGGACAGAGGAAGGTTTCTACGAGTCAATCTCTGCTGTGGAGTTTAAGTCTCGTAGGAGAGACGAGTCTTATGAGGATCTACTGAAGAAGACCAAGGAGGACCTGCTTCATCACTTGAAAGAGAAGGAGGAGGCTGAGCGGAAGAGGCTGGAGGAACAGGGCACAGTCACCATCCCCACAATCAAACCAGAGAGGGTCCAGCTCTCCCCTAGCATGGAGGCTCCCAGGATCCTGGAACGCATCGCCAGCAAGACCGTTGCTCCAATGGATGAGGTTCGTTTCCGACTCAGAGTCGTGGGCAGACCAGAACCTGAGTGCCAGTGGTTCAAGAATGGCATTCAGCTGGAAAAGTCAGACCGTATTTACTGGTACTGGCCTGAGGATCATGTGTGTGAACTGGTGATCAGAGACGTCACAGTCGAGGATTCTGCTAGCATCATGGTTAAAGCCATTAATGTTGCTGGGGAATCTTCAAGCCACGCCTTTCTGCTTGTGCAAGGTAATTATATCACTTTACACTTCTTCCATAACTTTGTCATTTTCTTTATTTCATTTCAAACATATCTAATTTTTTCTCTTTACAGCCAAGGTGGCGATTAACTTTACCCAGAACCTGACAGACACCAGTGCCAATGAGAAGGACACGATGGTCACCTTTGAGTGTGAAACTAACGAACCTTTTGTCAAAGTCAAGTGGCTTAAGAACAACATGGAGATCTTCTCCGGAGACAAATACAGAATGCACTCGGACAGAAAGGTTCACTTCCTGTCTGTACTGATGGTTGAAATGAGGGATGATGCAGAATACACCTGTGTGATGATAGATGATGAAAACATCAGGACAAGTGCAAGACTCATTGTTGAAGGTAATCTCTTCCCATCTGCCGTTTTACTTGCTCTTATTTTGGTGGATTGGTAGATAATAGCTCTTGATGTTGTTTTGTATCCAGGCGCTGCCCTGGAGCTCATCAAACACTTGGAGAACATTGAGGTACCAGAGACCTACGCTGGAGAGTTTGAGGTCGAGCTTTCCCGTGAGGACGCTGAAGGCAGCTGGTTCTTCAAAGACAAGGAGCTCTCTTCCAGCAGGAAATACCTAATGTCCTCCCGCCGAGGGAGACACACCTTGTCTGTCAAGGATGTCAGGAAAGAGGACCAGGGAAAATACACGTTTGTATGTGGAGATCTGAGGACCAGTGCCTCACTGAAGATGAAATGTAAGAGAAGTTCCACTCAACTTGTGTCTTTCCCTCGTCATCAGCTGCACATGTTGTAGTTGTTGTATAATGTGATTGCAATGATGTGTCTCCACCTTTAGTGCGCCCAGTAACCCTGATGCAGCCATTGACCGACCTCACAGTCTGTGAGGGTGACATCGCTCAGCTGGAGGTGAGGTTCTCCCAGGAGAACGTTGAGGGAACCTGGATGAAGAACGGCCAGGCCATTTCTGCTTCGGACCGCATCCACATTGTAATCGACAAACTGGTTCACAAGCTGCTGTTGGAGAACGTCAACAGAGAAGATGCTGCCTCCTACTCTTTCTTGGTTCCTGCACAAGACATCTCCACCTCAGGCAAACTCAGTGTCCAAAGTAAGAGTCAGAATTAGTGTCAGAAGTGATATCCGACTGTAATCATCTCTTTGAACGTCTCTAATCATAATGTTTCGTCTCTGATCACAGCCATTGACATTGTGGTGCCTCTGAAGGACATGTCCTCCGTTGAGGGCACCAAAGCTGTTTTGGAGGCCAAGATATCTGCTCAAGATATAAGCTCAGTCAAATGGTTCCACAACGACAAACTGCTGACGCCCAGTGACAGAATCCAGACGGTGGCAAAGGGAGCCAAGCAGCGTCTGGTCTTCAGCAGGACCTACGCCTCTGATCAAGGACACTACAAACTGGTGGTTGGCAAAGTTGACACCAGCTGCAACCTAACTGTCGAACGTAAGAGTGATTTTATTTTCCTCTGGTCACAGTTGAATTTCCACCTTCCTGTACCGACCATGTTGTTGTTATTACAGAGGTTCAGATTGTGAAGCACATGGAGGACAAAGTCTGCTCTGAGTCCCAGAACGTCACTTTTAACGTTGAAGTATCTCACCCTGGTATCGACCCAGTCTGGATGTTCAGGAACCAGCAACTCAAACCTGGACCCAAACACAAGATGGACTCCAAGGACAAGGCTCACTCTCTGACTGTCATCGATGCCATGAAAGACGAGGAGGGCCAGTACACGTTCCACGCTGGTGAAAAGATGTCCAGTGCCAAGCTGTCTGTCTCAGGTATGTCTCAACCGGAGGACTTTACCACCTTATTCACTGAATTACTAGTGACACATCATCAGATCTTTGATGGAGCCTCTCTGCTGCCTCGGAATCATCAAGTTATCAGCTTTCTTATTCTGCCACCAGGTGGTGCCATCACACGGCCGCTTCAGGACGTGACAGTGGCGGAGTCTCAGACAGCTGAGCTGGAGTGTGAAGTCGCCAACGCCAACGCTGAGGGGAAGTGGCTGAAGGAGGGTCATTCTGTGGACTTCAATGAGAATGTGGTGAGCGAGGTGAACGGAGCCATCAGGCGCCTGGTCATCGTCATTACCAGACCGCAGGACATCGGGGAGTACACCTACCAGGTGGCCAACTCCAAAACCACTGCCAACCTCAGGGTGGAGGGTAAGTGCAGTGTTCAGTGTCGGTGTTATTACATTTGTTGGTGTTTCAATGATAATAACACATAATGACAAGAATAAAGCAGTTATTGATTAGTATCATCACTATATTCTTGTTTTTATCATAAGGTTTCTCATACTTGTTTGTTTCCGTCTGTTAGCTGTGAAGATCAAGAAAACCCTCAGAAACCAGACGGTGACAGAAACCCAGGAGGCGGTGTTCACGCTGGAGCTCACCCACCCAGACGTGAAGGGATCCCAGTGGATCAAGAACGGTGTGGAGCTGCAGAGCAGCGACAAGCACGAGATCACGTCAGACGGCATGGTCCAAACCCTGAGGGTGAAGAACTGCAACTCACAGGACGAGTGCGTTTATTCCTTTAAACTGGGAAAACTGTCGGCCAATGCCAGGCTCAACGTGGAGAGTGAGTATCACTGATGTTCTGTGACAGTTTAAACGTATCGTTCGTATTTGTCTTTGACTGGTAACGAATTATTTCTGATATTATATTTACAATAGTGTTAAAGAAGAAATAAAATATGAGCTAACCATAATTTCACATTCTAACACTAATCATTACACACATGCACATTGCTATACTGATAATATCAAATATCTTTAGCTTCAAATATTGAGCATTTTCATATTTTAACTTTTAAAACCTTTTGTCTGCAGCGATCAAGATTGTTAAGAAGATGAAGGACGTGACATCATTGTTGGACGGCACTGCCTCCTTTGAAATGAGCCTGTCACATGACAACATCCCCGTCAGGTGGATGTTTAAAGGTGTAGAGCTGAAGTCGAGCAGCAAGTGTAAAGTTCTGTCGGAGAGAAAAGCTCACAAACTGATTGTGCAGAACGTAAACCCCAGCGATGCAGGAGAGTACAGTGCTGTGGTGGGACACCTGCAGTGCAGCGCCACCCTCACTGTGGAGGGTACGTAACGTTTTAATATGAACTGCTCTACACGATGAAACCTCTCAGTAACCCACATTTAAAAATGCATTGAAGATTTGTGCAATTACAAATTTAGTAGAAGAACAAATTTGTTGAATTATTGTAGATTGACATTAATTTGAA